TGATATGGGAAATAAAAAAGAAAATCATAGTTAGGAAATTTTATCATGAAATATTTTAAATTTCAAATTGCTTTTTCTAATTTGTTCTTGGAGTTATTAGTCTATAATCATGCCGATTAATTTATTGTTTTCAATTCAAATAAATTCTAGATTATTTAAAAATTGAATATGTTAGTGTAATTTTTTTGGAATGTTTGATCTCAAATTAGTGATATAACATCAGTATACTATGTTGAAATTAAAAAAAAAATGATTAAAAATTTAAAAAGTTAAATAAATAAACTTAAATTAATTATTGATATCACATTACCTATAACAAAAGTAAAAGTCTCACTACGGATGGTAAAAGAAAAAATACCAAAAGCAAAATTGAAAGGAAAAAAAAAAAAAAATGAATGCTAAAGAAAATTTCCCAATTTAATAACTAAGATTTTTTTGTCGAAAAATTGATACTATTTCTAGTATATACAAACTTTGCATGGATATTGTGTTGAAATATGGAATTTTTAAATTTTATATTAGTTCATGTTGAACATTGTTTTGACCAAGGGCATACTCTACATCTATTTAAGACTTATTTGGAATAAATTGTCATTTTCTCGTTTAAAGACCATTACTAAAATTAGTAATTATGCTATCTTTTTATTTTACTAGTATGTAACTTATGCGATGTCGGGACAGGAATGATAAATCATATAATCGGAGTTCATCGCTTTAGACAAAGCAGGTGAAGAAGCCGAATGACTATGAAAATTTGATATTCCCCTTGGAGTAAGCTTTGCCGCCTGTGAAGATTCACTGTGATAACCAAATTGCTAGTGGAAGGGCGCAAAACGACATGTATAACGATAAGTTTAGACATATTCGTCATAGACATTGATCACAAATGACATTATCTATTGACTATGTAAAATCTAAGTAAAATTTGGTTGATACTTTTACTAAAGGAATGAATTGAAACTAAATGCGAATATTGCCAGAGGGAATAAGTTTAAAAATCCACATTGAAAGAATGATTATAGTGGTAACTCTATCTTGCTAAATGGAGATCCCATGAAATTGGTTCAAAGGAAAACTAATCTATAAAAATTCAGTTGAGCACTTGGATATAAGGATATCTAAAGGCTCTTCCCTAAAGCAATCCAAGTGCAAAACTACCATTTGATTGTTGTTAGGATAAGTTTATGGACTTTTAATAAATCTCTAACTTTTTAATGTGGAGTAATACATGATACTTTTGATAAGAAGATCACCTATATAAGCATAAAGTGAGAGCCGCTTCAAATGTAAAAACTTATGAATTCAAAGTGTTGTCCATGCCAATATGGATACAACAATAGAACGAAATGTAGTTAAAGCTCTATTGTAGGAATATCATTGTCTTGGTGTTGAAGAATACTTCAAGGCATTATGTCCGCTAAGTTTCCAGTACATCTAATGATGTTTACTAAGAAATGTTCAACGCCACAAACTACATTTTCTGATGCAATAAAGTCTTGTGAGGATTGAGCACAATAGTCTACATATATCCATACATTTGATTTTCCATTCATGTGGAAGATTGTTACAAAGTCAGTTAATTAAACTTGGGCTAGACCCGATTTAACTTATTTCGTGATAGCTTAATATTTAATTCGGATTGAATTAAATTGTGTAGAAAAATTCTATGTTCCGAATAGATACGCTGGCATATTATTTATTTTCTCAAAACTGATTTCCAGTGAGAGAGAAATAAATAATTAATGTTAGTCATTAATTAGCATATTACACGTTGGTTGTGATATTCGAAGGATCAAAAGTCATATCTCACGCTGAACTCTTAAATGAGGATAACTATTTTTATTATAATAAAGAGAGTTGGAGATGTCACAATAACAACAAATCTATGCATCAAGTAATGATGATGGCTTCAGCCACACACGCGCGCTCACAGGCCAACCGGCCAGCTCTGCTCGGATCAGGCTCAGGCATGGGCCTTGGCTCTGGATCTTGGACCTTAGTCCTTGGTACTTGGAGTTTGGATTGTGAGCTGGACTTTGATGGTCTTGGACGGTCTGGACCAGTGTTGGGCTAGGGTTTTGGGCCCAACCGCTATAATCTTTTTGCTGCAAATATATTTGCAAAATTATGGCAAAAAATAAAACCGAGACTGAGTTGAGTTCTGACTCGGGTTTTGATCCAACCCTTATGGACCTTTTCAAATACAATGTATATTGACATATGTTGAGTCAACCTGATCGTTTCAAAAACTGAATTGCTAAATACCGCACCCTGTTTACTACGTACCGCACCCCCAAAAGACTATTTTGCCCTTTATTTTTTTTTTTTAAAAAAAAGATGTCCCCTCTTCAGAGCCACTTACCGGCCGAACCGAGCCCTGAAAAATTCCGAAAACACCTCCGAATAATTCTGGCGAAAAAATACTTTCCAACAAGACTACTGTTGCGGCGGTCGGCCGGTCAAACCGGCCGGACTGGAGCCGGCCAAACGGCGATCGCGGCCGATCATGGACCGGCCGGCCGTACTTTTCGGCCGAGCCTATGTTGGCCGCCTTCGGCGGCCGGCCAGACCATTCCTGGCCGAAAAGTTCGGCCGG